AAGTGCCGCCTATGCAAAGAAGCTGACGAAACAGTGGACCACTTGGTAAGCTGTTGCCAGAAGATTGCACAGACTGATTACAAGCAGCGGCATGACAAAGTAGCAACAATGGTGCATTGGAAGATCTGCAAAAAATATCATTTACCTGTAAGCAAAAACTGGTGGGATCATAAAATAGAGAAAGTCATAGAAAATGATAAAATTAAACTGCTCTGGGACTTCAGAATTCAACAGACAAGCACCTGCAACATAACACCCCAGACTTAACAATTGTCGATAAGAAAGACAAAAAAGTCTGGATAGTGGACGTGGCAGTGCCTGGAGACAGCAGAATAGAAGAGAAAGAACTGGAGAAGATAACAAAATACAAAGACCTACAAATAGAAATAGAAAGACTGTGGCAAAAGCAAGCAAGGGTAGTACCACTAGTCATAGGCTCCTTGGGCGCAATCCCAAAACAACTGGAGCACCACTTGAACACCATTGTCATTGACAAATTTGCTATTAGTCAATTGCAAAAGGCGGCCTTATTAGGAACTGCTTCCATCCTGCGACGATACCTGTAATACCATCAAACATCCACATCTGCCTATCCCAGGTCCTGGGTAAGGACTCGATAGGTAGACAAAATGCCAAATCCCGTCTGAACATCTGGCTGACTGTGGCGATGATCGATAGATATAATAATAATATCAAGAGATGAATATTTCAAGGAGATTCATTATCACCATTACTATTTGTTATTGCACTGTTTCCTCTTTCAACAATACTGAATAACTCAGGACATGGCTATCAAACATCAAAAACATCTGCCAGACTATCCCACCTCCTTTATATGGATGATCTGAAGCTGTATGGAAAAACATCATCTGAAATAGAATCGCTGCTCAACACTGTCCGTATATATAGCCAAGATATTGTAATGGAGTTTGCTTGGACAAATGTGCCACACTTACTATCAAACAAGGAAAAATAATGAAAACTGAAGGAATCAAGATGCCCCACAAAAATAACATTAAGAGTCTGGATGAGGAAGAGTACTAAAAATACTTGGGTATCCTTCAAGCTGACAACATCAAGCACACTGAAGTCAAGAAAAAGATTAGAAGTGAATACATCAAGAGAGTGAAGAAGATCTTAAAGTCCAAACTCAATGGAGGAAATACCATAAAGGCAATCAACACCTGGGCAATCCCAGTCATTAGGTACACAGCTGAAATAGTGGACTGGACTCAAGCAGAACTAAAAGCAATGTATAGGCAGACCAGAAAAATAATGACAATGAATCATGCCCTTCATCCACGCAGTGACATTGATAGACTTTATCTACCAAGGCAAATAGGTGGGCGTGGAATGCTACAAGTACATCAGATGGTTGAAGAAGAAAAAATGGCTTTGGAAGAATATCGGAAGAACAATGATGAAGATGCACTGAAATTAGTATATCAGGAAGGCTTACTAACTACTGGAGAGACCAAACTGGCCTACAAGAAAGACCAAATGAAGAACAAAATAGAGGCATGGGAATACAAAGCACTACATGGCCAATACATTAAAAAAATAGCTGGGAAAGCAGATAATAATAAAACCTGGCAATGGCTAAGAGCAGGAAATTGAAGAAAGAGACCGAGGGACTAATTCTGGCTGCACAAGATCAAGCCTTAAGGACAAATGCATACAAAGTCAAAATTGAGAAGACAGCAACAGACAGTAAGTGCCGCCTATGCAAAGAAGCTGAAGAAACAGTGGACCAATTGGTAAGCTGTTGCAAGAAGATTGCACAGACTGATTACAAGCAGCGGCATGACAAAGTAGCAACAATGGTGCATTGGAAGATCTGCAAAAATATCATTTGCCTGTAAACAAAAACTGGTGGGATCATAAAATAGAGAAAGTCATAGAAAATGATAAAATTAAACTGCTCTGGGACTTCAGAATTCAAACAGACAAGCACCTGCAACATAACACCCCAGACTTAACAATTGTCGATAAGAAAGACAAAAAGTCTGGATAGTGGACGTGGCAGTGCCTGGAGATAGCAGAATAGAAGAGAAAGAACTGGAGAAGATAACAAAATACAAAGACCTACAAATAGAAATAGAAAGACTGTGGCAAAAGCAAGCAAGGGTAGTACCAATAGTCATAGTCTCCTTGGGTGCAATCCCAAAACAACTGGAGCACCACTTGAACACCATTGGCATTGACAAATTCGCTATTAGTCAATTGCAAAAGGCGGCCTTATTAGGAACTGCTTCCATCCTGCGACGATATCTGTAATACCAATCAACCATCACATCTGCCTATCCCAGGTCCTGGTCTAAGGACTCGATAGGTAGACAAAATGCCGCTAAATCCGTCTGAACATCTGGCTGACTGTGCGATGATCGATAATAATATAATAAAACAGTTGGAAGGGACCTTGGAGGTCATCCCGTCCAACCCCCTGCTCAGGCAGGAAACCGTTCCACCTTTCGGCCAAATGGCTGTCCAGTCTCTTCTTAAAAACTTACAGTGTTGGAGCATTTACTGCTTCTGGAGGCAGGCTGTTCCACTGATTAATTGTTCTCACTGTCAGGAAGTTTCTCCTTAGTTCTAGGTTGCTTCTCTCCTTGATTAGTTTCCACCCATTGCTTCTTGTCCTGCCTTCAGGCGCTTTGGAAAATAGCTTGACTCCCTCTTCTTCGGGGCAGCTCCTGAGATATTGGAAGACTTTCCCTTCCCTTCCCTTCCCTTCCCTTCCCTTCCCTTCCCTTCCCTTCCCTTCCCTTCCCCTCCCTCTCCCCTTCCCTTTCCTTCTTTTCCTTTTCCTTTCCTTTCCCTTCCCTTCCCTTCCCTTCCCTTCCCTTCCCTTCCCTTCCCTTCCCTTCCCTTCCCTTCTCCCTTCCCTTCCCTTCCCTTTCCTTCCCTTCTCCCTTCCCTTCCTTTCCTTTCCTTTCCCTTCCCTTCCCTTCCCTTCCCTTCCCTTCCCTTCCCTTCTCTTCTCTTCTCTTCTCTTCTCTTCCTCTCTATATAAAGATTCACCAACACACCTGCTTTGTTTGTTCCACCCAAATACATTTTTCTGCATCTTTCTGTCACCCCATCCATAGTTATGAATGAACAAAGAGGGCAGATATTGAACCAAGAGAGAGGAACTCTTTCAAACAGATCATATGTGGTCTGCAGATGAAAAAGGAAGAAAGGGGAACAATTTTATTTTAGAGGTTAGAAAAAGAATTATGAGAAAGTCTCTTGGGAAAGAATGGTCTTCAGGGGCCTGATGAGTGATAGGTCAGAAGCAGCAGAGGAAACCATCAGGCCAACAACTGAAACCACACTTTCATTTGTGTTAAGTGGAGAATGTCAGTTTGTTGGACACTGCTGCCCTGTTGGGCAAAGCAGGTAGAAGGGAGCCACCAGGCTCAGGGTCTGAACAGATCTTCATTATTGAATTGAATTAATTGAATGTTTATTTAGCCAAGTGTGATTAGATACACCAGGAATTTGTCTCTGGTGCAGAAGCTCTCAGTGTACATGCAAACCTGTTACTGTAATTTACTCACGAAGCACCTACAATGTTTTCATTACAGGGAGAGTCTCTTCCAAACTTCTTGTCCTACCCACATTCCTGCTGCAGGTCTAGAACAACTCACTATGGGCAACTCACCACAGCCAACTTATCATAGCCAACTCACTACAACCAATTTGTCATGAGACAATTCACCATGAAACAAGAGTTACACTAAAATGAAATTCATTAAAGAAGGGGTGCAAAAGGACGGTCAAAATGAAATATGAATGAACATATTTTTTTTATATATATATATATATATATATATATATATATATATATATATATATATATATATATATATATATATATAATTATTAAATTGAAATGATGAATTGTCCTGTGATGAGTTGGCCCATAGCTAGTGGTCTGATTCTGTCCTGCTGCAGGCTCAACCGCCTTCTATTTGGCCATTCCCTTAGTTGTGTCTCATTGGCCAACATCTAAGATGGATTGGATTTCTTTACCACTTGGATGAGACAAATTGTTCTCAAACCTTATAGAAAAGAGTTATGTAAAGTCTCTTGGGGAAGGATGGTCTTCAGGAACCTGTTGAGTGATAGTTCGGAAGCAGCAGGGAAAACCACCAAGCTAACAGTTAAAGCCACATTTTCATTTTTTGTAAAGTGGAGAATGTTAATTTGTTAGACCCTGCTGCCCTCTTTTGCAAAGCAGGTAGAAGATCTGAAAAGACTTTCATTATGTGTGAAAGAAAACAGGGTTTAGGACAATCTCCGGGAGATATCCAGTACTTCCAGGCTGAAAGGAATCAGCTTGATAGCCTATCTCAAGAAATAAATAAAAATAAAATAATGTAATATATTTATTCATTGTTAGTAACAATCTCCATAAAGATTCATTTTGCAAACATTTAATTTATCCATTTAATTGATAAAAATTATATATGAGTGTGTGCGTGTGTGTGTAAAATATAAGCACATTTCTTAAGAACCATCAGATGCTCCTTGTCACAGTTGTAATGTGTAGTTCAGCCCTGATGAGAGTGCTATCTATGAAGAAAAATTCCATACAGGGACTGATCAGACTCTTTCCATTCCTACCAACCCATGCCCTTGTTTGAAAACCAATGCGCATTTGGACATACCAGGGAGGAACGGGAAGAGAAAAGGCGAGATAACAGAGGACTGCATCTCTTAATCCTTCTCTGTCATGGTTATATTGCAGCCAGGTCTTGAAAAAAAAAAAAAAAAACCTGTGGAAATAGGAGAAAGGAAACAAAAGAACAAGAAAAGAAGGAAGACACAAACAGCATGCTATGTGCTGTTCTGAATATCAGCAGTAACACTGAAGTCTAGTACTACTTTTTTGTTCACCTGGAATGTGTACCTTGTTCCTCTCTGCAGAGAATGACAGCCTGAAAGATGAACTAAGTTATCTGAATCCATTCATGTGAGTCCATAAAATTTCATCAGGGAAAGTTCCAGAAGTTTTTCACACTTCCTCCCTTGCTTTATCTCACTGTGGACCTCTTGCACAGTAATATGTGGCTGAGTCTGCAGCTGTCAGGGAGCTCATTGTCAAATAATATTCATTGCGGGAGTCATCGGCAGACAAGGTTGTTCGGCTTTGGAGGGATGAGGCATAGTATATCCTCCAGTTATTACTAGCCCAGTCTATCTGGCCCACCCATTCCAGTCCTTTTCCTGGAGCCTGGCGAACCCACTCCCAGTATACTTTCTTGACAGAGTCACCAGTCACTTTGCAAGTTAATCTGAAGGATCCTCCAGGGCTCGCTGTTCCTGGTCCAGATTCTACAAGTAGGATGGTGGAGTGGACATCTAAATGAATGACAAAGCAGGAATTAGTACACAACCCTATTTTTTTGTTTTATCTCATTGTTCAGGTCCATCTGGATGATACTCACACACAGGAGCTGCTATTAAACAAAGAAGACGAAGAATGGCAAGACCCATTGTGCAGTAAAGAAAACTCTTTTCCTTTAGAACAATGACACCTTTGGCTCTGTGATTCCTTTACTGCACTGACACTTTTTGGTCTGGGATGGTCTTTTGTGTGTTTATGTTTATTTAAAGGAGAAACAGCTCAGTGACTTCATTTGCATCTGAGTTTCATGTGGAAATTGAAACCAGTTTATAAGAAAGATGGCTTAAGTCCATCAGACTCAGTTCACAAGTAGAAATTTGTATGTTAACATCTGCAACACTAACTAGTTGTCCTGATTTAATTTAAAACAAATGTAGGACTATCATATCTAAAATGCAAAAATCTGGAGTAGGTGGCAATCAGTCCTAGCCTAGAAGTTGGACTTTGACTGTGGCTGTCACATCTACAACACCAAATATTACTCCTGATTTAATTTGTATAAAAGGAGGATAATGTTAGTAAATTAAGTGCTAAAAAATATGGGTGGTGAAATCAGTGGGTGGGGGTCAGGAATGAATAAACTGAGTAAATATCAACCTGGATTGAGTATGAAATTGAAATTGCATTAAAAAAGAGTATTATTCCTATACATTGAATGGATGAAGCTTGAAGTGCAGAATGAAGACAGGAAGGGAGAATCCAAATTAATGAAGTTGTTTTTGTTAGAAAGGTTTACAGAGCTGCTGGGTGAAAGAATGAAGAATATTTATATGCCACCCATTCCAGTCCTTTCCCTAGAGCCTGTCTCACCCAGATCATCTCATAGCTGCTGAAGGTGAATCCAGATCCTTTGCAGGAGAGACGGAGGGACTCTCCAGGTCTTCTCACATCCCCTCCAGTTTCCACCAACTGAACCTAAGATTGGGCACCTAGAAAGAAAGATTGTTTAATAAGTCTTCCTGCAGGAAAACAAAAGAAACTGAGGAATAACCACTCTTTCTGGAGAGAAAAATAATACCTCCATGGACAACTAACAAGAACATTATGTTGAGCCAGAGTGCCATTTTTGCTCACTCAAAAGTGTGAAGGATTCTTACTGATGGAAAAAAATATTCAGACAAGCACTCAACCTTTAAGTTTTTGAGTTCAGAAGGAGAGCAGAATGATATGATTCCTTTGAACAGGAAGCTGTCACTGAATTTACCTAATCCTAGGGATAATAGAACCACATGCAGCTTTGACCTTCTAGAATGCCTTCATCCTACATTGTAGAAATGCTGAAAATGACCTTTTGTTGTTAATTGTGAAGTTGTGTCTGACCCATCGCAACCCCGTGGACAACATTCCTCCAGGTCTTCCTGTACTCTACCATCTTCTGGAGTCCATTTAAGCTCATGCCTACTGCTTCAGTGACTCCATCCAGCCACCTCATTCTCTGTCGTCCACTTTTTCTATTGCCCTGAATCTTTCCCAGCATTAGGCCCTTCTCCAGTGAGTCCTTCCTTCTCATGACCTAACATGAGTTAAATATATTTATTTCAATCCTTAAGAAACATGAAAAGCAACAGGTTCATTTTCTCAGAAGGAAAGTCATATCTTCAAAAATCATTGTAATACATTATTTGAGCATTTCGGTAATGTTAAAGCTGGTAGAGAACTGATTGCCTACTTCTCTGCATGATGGAGATATACATCATATTTAGTGGAACTAATTCCCACAGTTGCAAGTAAAGATATTCAGTCAAAATTGAAATCCATGTTATCCAGAGTCCTCTAAGTGAGCGTCTATCAAGAATACACTTTCTTACCTTTTGTAGCAATTTTTCAGATACTTCTCAAAATTTGGTTATTGATGTACTTTGTAATCTGTAGCATCTATTAATTTTTCCATCTTTCTATTGCCAGCTTCAAATTTATTTTTTTATACAAATATAGAAGCAAAAAAATGACTTACAATTTTTGTATTTGCTCTGCCCTCCCCAATATGGGGCACACCAGTGTTCAATATTGTAGAGCCAATTCCAATGGACAGATGAATTCTTCAGTTCACTCTGAGCCAAGCCAAAGGTAGGCATAGGTTGAAATCAGGACATTAAATTGCCCTTGGAAGATAATCAGCAGTCATGGCATGGTCTGTAAAATTTGTATAATATGTGCCCACTGGAAGCATAACAATATTATTAGGAGGTAGCCACCGAGGAAGGAATTGAACCATTCCAAACAGACCTCCCAAAACCTAGTTCTGCAGACTGTCCAGCAGAATATGACAGTTGATAACTATGTTGTGTTTGTTGTTGTTTCCACTGGTCTGCAAATGAAAAAAGAAGAAAGTGGAGCAATTTTATCTCAGAGCTAAAAAAAAGGAAAGGATGGTCTCCAGAGACCCATTGAATGACAAATTGGAAGCAGAAGAGAAAACCATCTGGCTAACAGATGAAACCACACTTTCAATTGGGTTAAGTGGAGAATGTTAATTTGTTAGACACTGCTGCCCTCTCGTGCAAAGCAGACGGAAGGCTACCATCAGGCTCATTGTAAAGGTAAGAAAATAGGGCTTGGGATAGTGTTTCTGATCTGCAGGAGTTCTCCAGAGTTTCCAAGCTGAATAGATTGGGCTCAATAGCTCCAACTCAAGTAATAAATAAAAATAAAATATATAGATATATTCATTCTTTTGGTGTCAATCTCCACAAAGGTTCATTAATATATCCATTTAATTGGTAATAATGTGAAATATACATTATTTCCACTTGTTTCCTTAGAACTAGCAGATACTCATATGGTGTAATGTGTAGTTCAGCCCTGATGAAATTGCTATTAGTGAAGTAGAATTCTGTATATTCTGTACTGACTGATCTGATTCCTTCCATTCGTACCATATGACACCCGTACTGAGCTCCTTTTAAAACCAACACACATCTGAGTATACCAAGGAGGAATGGGAAGAGAGAAGGCTAAATGACTCTTAGGACTTGTAATCAACCCAACTACCAGGGATCTGTATCTCTTAATCCCTGTCCACAACAATGATGTTGCAGCTAATTCTTGAGAAACCTGTGTAAATAGGAAAAAAGAAAGAGAAAAGAAAATAGATGCAAATAACAAGCTATCTGCAGTTCTGAATATGAATAGCTACTCTGAAATCTAGTCCTACTTCTTCTTGACTTGGAATAGTAGCTTGTTCCATTTTGCAGCCAAACCTGAAAGAATAAATAAATTATCTCAATCCATTTGTGTGAATGAATAAAGTTTCTTCAGACAAAAGCTGAGAGGTTTTACACACTTCCTCCCTTGCTTTCTCTCACTGTGACTCTCCTGCACAGTAATATGTGGCTGAGTCTGCAGCTGTCAGGGATTTCATTGTCAAGTAACATTCATTCTTGGAGTCATCGGCTGTCAAGGTCGTTCGACTTTGGAGGGATGAGGCATAGTCTGTACTCGATTCACCCTCCTCCAAGGCTATGTCACCGACCCATTCCAATCCTTTTCCTGGAGCCTGGCGGATCCATGCCAAGTATACATTCTCAATGGATTCCCCTGTCACTTTGCAAGTTAATCTGAAGGATCCTCCAGGGCTCACTATTCCTGGCCCAGATTCCACAAGTTGGATGGTGGAGTGGACATCTAAGCGAATGAGAAAGTAATAATTAGTAAATAACTCTGCTTTTATTTTATCTCATTGTTCAGGGTCTATCTGGAAGATACTCACACAGAGGAGCTGCTACTAAACAAAGAAGTACAATGGCAGGCTCCATGGGGCAGTGAGAAAACAACCCTTCTTTTACCGCACTGACACCTTTGGGTGTGGGATGCTCTTTTGTGTATTTGTGATTATTTAAAGGAGAAACAGCTCAGTGACCTCATTTGCATCTCAGTTTCATGGGGAAGATAAAATCAGTTTATAAGAAAGAAAGGCTATATCTAACAAACCATCACTGTCTATAATTTGAACTTTGACAATGATTTTCATATCTACATCCCCAAATATTTGTCCTGATTTAGATAAATTTATGATATTATCAATAAATTAAGGGCTAAGAAACATGAAATGAGAGGGATAGGGTCAGGAATAAGTGGACTGAGTAAATATCAACCTGGACTGAATATGAAATAGAAATGCAGTGTTCACTGTATGAACAAAAAGTGGCTTTTTCATATAGATTGAATGGATGAAGGTTGATGTACAGAATGAAGAAACAATGTGAGAATCTGAATTAATAAAGCTGTTTTTTATTAGAAAAAAAATTGCAGAACTGCTGCGTGAAATGAACAGATTCACTTCCTCTCACTGTGTGTCTCTCTCACACAGTAATAGATGGCCGTGTCCTCTGGTTTGAGGCTGTTCATTTGCAGATACAGCTGGATTTTGGCGTCATCCATGGAAATGGTGAATGGTGTCAGAGTGTTTTTTGTCCATCAATTTCGATGAAGACCTTGACATCTTGTGGGTTATGGGTTATGGGCCATCAGCGATGTGTCCGTAGGTGGCTGATAAGACCGATGTTAGCATGGAATGTTCTGCCACATACTGAACAAAGAAGTGTAAACACTGTTAATTCAACATTTGCAGCTCTGGCTTTGCGGAGTGCTCGCTTTTCTTGTGCCAAGATTGTCCTTCTGTGTTCATATATCTTGCAACCCTGGTACACCAAGGTGCACCATGTCGGTCGATCATGCGTCAGAAGTTCCCAAGAGATGGTATTAATATCCAGGGACTTGAGAAGCTTTTAACGTGTCTTTGTATCGCTTCTTTTGTCCCCCGTGTGATCGCTTTCCTTGAGACAGCTCACCATAGAAGAGCTATTTAGGGATGCGATGATCTGGCTTCCTTACAACATGGCCCGCCCAGCGCATCTGGGCTTTCATCAACAGAGTGTAAACTGATGATAGACCTGCTCTGGAGAGGACATCTGTGTCTGGTATGTTATCCTGCCACCGGATCCTCAGAATTCTATGAAGGCAAGTCATGTGGAAGTAGTTCAGTTGCCTAACATGCCTCCTGTACACTGTCCAGGTCTCACTAGCATACAATAGGGTAGTTAGCACTGCTGCCTGGTAAAGTTTAAGCTTGGTAGCAAGACTTATTCCACGGCGGTCCCACACGTTAGTCTGCAATCTGCCAAATGCAGAACTTGCCTTGGCAATTCTACAGTTGACCTCGATGTCAATTGTCACTGCACGGGAGAGGGTACTACC